AACCCCAACTCTAGGTTAGCTGAAGCCATCATTGAACCAGTAGGTTGGCAACCTACAGTCCCATACCCAACCAAACAAGTTTTGCGATCAGATATTGGCTATGAGTAGGTCTTTGGTGTTTAGGCCATTACTAACCATCATCATCCACTGTTGCAGGGAAATAGGGTATACCTAACGAATACTTAATTATAATATCTATGTTTGAGACTGTGGAATTTGGAGCTGCTTCAGCTGATTTGTTGACAACTCGGTGCGATGTCTACCATCCTCAGAGTTCTAAAAATAAAAACCGGACAACCTTGAGCCTATATTGTTTGGAGCTAATTCATAATGAGTGTATAGATTTATTGCTGACATTGCACGATTTTCCTTTTTGGTGTCTACTCTCAGGTGATGTTCCTTGGGGCCATTGTTTGTTGAGTAGTCCTTGGCTGGAAAGTCCAAAAATCTGTCTTGAGTGAAAAAGTGAGCGACTCGTTGGCACTCTTGAAGAACTTTTTGCAACAAGGGAGCTTCCCTTCTGGCGGTTTTGGAGTGTGTGGATGGTACCCGAACTGGGTGTGCCCAGGCAGGGAAAGATTGTATAATCGGTTCCCAGCTTCCGCGGCGCCCAAGCTGTTAGTTTCGACTCCCCGTTTTCCCAGTGCAATCAATCAGAGTTTGACCCAGCACGGGTCGCCACAGCAGGTATGGCCATGATGGGCAGACACCACGAGGTGCGGTATGTCTTCGGAGCGGGGGGAAGACTGGAGTGGAGCCAGTCCAGCTAGTTGAAATGACCACCGATCTGCTTGGGTGTGGTGGGGCTTAGCTGGAAAAAGAAGAGCTCTTACCCAGCAGTCACATGTCGGGGTAGTATTTAGTCCCTAAGTGAGTGGATAATGGGCACCCCTAACCTCCATTAAGCACCCCTTTGTGACTGCTGGACCATTGATCCAAGTCAAGGTGTTGCTTTTTGTCGTCTTTGCTCCCACCCAAAAGGTTTCGGTGGGTGTAACTGCGCGTACTGCGCTCGGTAGGCGTGAAGGCAAGCACCGAAGTCAGCACCGGTCCTTGCGAGCAATATTGCTTGGTGCCCAGAGAGAGGGTGACCCCCCCCCTCCGAGCAGCCTGAAGTGGCCCGAAGCTGAGGGTGTCGATGTGTCACAGGTGCCCTTGCTGGAAGATCTGGAAGGTGGCATTCCGTCGGTGCAAACCGCGTCGTGGACACCAAGGCCCCACACAACGCCCCCGGCGTGTTCCACCCGCATGGCGCCGACCGAAGACAACGGTCACCATGGTCACCACGGCGACCGCCAGAGGCACCGAAGCGCCGCCCTGCACCTGTGTCGTTCCGCCCCCTCAGAAGGTAGGCGCCCTAAGAAGGGGCGCAACGCCACCGCATGGCCATCGAGGTCGGTCAAGGAGAAAGAAGGAGGTGATGGCGAAGAAAGGGGGCATCGACGCGATGGGCGCAGGAATGGAAGAAGTGAGTGCAGAAGGTGGCGACGTGATGGCGAAACATCCGCCGGAATCATGGAAAACACTCCAATCTGTACGAAAAGCCGCTGACCCAAGGACGCCGTCACTTTCGGCGAGGGGCGCCGTCTTGGGGGCGGACAGGTTTGGGCTGCCCCATGGGGTTTGGACAGTCGAAGAGATGAAGGGCGCCAGCAGCACGTGGCGCCAGCGACGCTGGCGGTTTGGGTTCTCCCACCCGCGTGGCACCACGGACCACAACCGCAGGGGCACAGGGGCGAAGGTGGCTGCCGCGAACAGTCGCCCGCGCCATCCAGGTTTTGTTGAACGATTCAAGACCCAGCCAGTCAAGAAATAACCCAACAGAACAACGCGAAGAGGTGGAAAAAAGGTGAATCATGGTTCACCCGGTGGAATCACGCTTTTTCTGTTCCGCTTTTTTCTGTTTGCTCCCGAGGATTGGGAGGGGGTCGCTAGCTATAGCTCTTGGAAGAAAAAGATGGATGGTGATGATGGTTGGTGTGTTTGTTTTTCATGTTAGTTTGTTTAAAAACCCGGATGCATCCTCCACCGGATACTTTAAGCTCAATGTGTCTCCTCCTTTGCATCCTCCACCGGAGATCCGCCCGGAGCTCCAGGCGCCGTGCCGCCGCCGATGCCCAGCGTCACCGAGGAGGAGAAGCGAGAAGTTCTCAGCTTCGAGGCGCGTCGTGTCCGTCCGGTGGAGGTCAAGGACGCGGTGGAGGTCAAGGGCGCGGTGGGCGGTGGAGGTCAAGCGGTTTTGGAAGTCAAAGAGACCCTTTTTCAAAAGAATGGTTGGAGTGAGGTTGATCTGGTTGATCTGGTGACTTGTCGTGTAAAACCCTTTAGTATACAACAATGGTGGTTCGGGATGACCCGGCTATTCAAACAATGGTGGGCGACGACTTCTGGTTCGGTGGAAGGCGGTGGTCAACGGGGGTTCGGTCGTTTGGGGGAGGCACGCGCGTGTTGGTGTGCACGGACGGTATATATCCCCGAACCAATTGTGCGCAGGACAAAGGATTGTCGCCACCGTGCTGCAGTAGGGGGTACTAGAACGAAGCATCAATCATCAAAGATCCTCAAAGCATTTTTGTGCTGTGGCTATATCGAATGGACCTTTTTCAGAGAGATCAAGCAAGGTGTCGCCAGCCAAGCCTATCCCGATGCTGGCAACGCGTACTGACTCCCATGGTAAGGCCAAAAGCAACTTCTTCCACAAGGCCGTGAGTGGTTTGGAAGATTTTACACCCCACACTTGGGGCCCCAAAGGGAACCCCTCACGCTCCAAAGACAGTGGCAAGCATTGCAAAACCATTTGTAAGTCCAAAACATAATAAAACATACTAAAACCCTTATAGCAACACAATGGTTCACTAAGTTGATGTTTGCCAAACCTTGTCCGATCCAATCCTTGTGATCTCTCGATCGCATGGCGGGGGTGTTCTTCCAAAGGGTTCGCATGGGTCGGGGGTCACAGGCCCAAAAAAGCCCACAACCTGAGGAACTCCCCACCCGGTCCTGAAATCGAAGGATTTCAGGGAGCTGTAAGTGTACTACCTCCCATCCACCCTCCCATGTCCACCCACCATCTTCTGAAGTGGGCACGCCGCTGGTCCCGTGCCCGCCCCCCGCAGTGCCCACCGTTTTTCGAGGATGCCGTGGCCATGTTGGACCTGGCTTATGAAGATAGCACTCAGAGGCCGGCATGCAGAACGGGAGCGAATTCGCGGCCGAGGTGTGTTGGGGTGTCAACATGTGTAATAAGCCCACCCAGTTGAATTGGATATCTTGTGTTTTGTTCAATCAAGAGTCGAATTTCAAAGTTCCGATTCGATTTCTCCTTGGTGAGTCCAGTCGAGTGGCCCATTCTTCGATCGAAATCGGAAACTTCCGAACGTCTCCGAACGCAGCAAACGGGGGTGAAGACGGTGAAGAGCAGCAGGGCTTCCTTGGACCTTTCGATTTCGGGTGTTCTGAATAGGAAGAGGCCGAATAGGATGAATAGGCCCATGTGTTCTTTTTCGTGGTGTGAGGGGTCTGGATCCTGGCTCCAGGATCCGCCTTTTCGGCAATGGTGTGGAGAGGATGACGCATTGGACTTGAACCAGCATCAACCCACGGGCTTGGACGTACGGATATAGGCTTCAGAAACTCAAAAACGCATTCGATACATGTTCACAATGCATCCATCCACCTAGAAAATGAGTACTAGTAGTACCATGTAGTACTGCTATAGTCAGCAAGAAGTGGACGAAAACGTTTGAAACAGCACCACCGGTTCCGACCCCGGAATCCTGGAAGTCTTGTCGCGTGACATGTGAATCTTCTTCGATGTGGTTGTGTTTAAAGTGATTTCAGAGTGCCAAGTGGTGGTTTATACATGGACTAGCCAAAAACAGTCGTGGGATATGAGGTGACATAAACAATATAAACGACACGAAATGACACGAGCAGCGACACGAACATATGTTTTTACATGTTGAACCAATTGCAATGGTTAACAATAATGTTATCAATGTTGCATCACGTGATTCAAGTCAACATGTGACAAAGAATTCACAAACGCAATCCCAACGAACTTTTCCACTCAATCCGAATGACGAATTCTCATAATAATCAGTATGATAGTATTAACAATAGTATAGTGGATGAATAGTGGATGGAAAAAGATATAGATGATGTTCTTTGGAGCCTCCAAATGGTTTTACTTTTGGAGAAGGTAAACAGCCAGGGCAGCAAAAGGATGGGGGAAACCTTTCTTGATCAGAGCCTTGAAAGATCCTTCAGCCATTTTCCTCGACTCTGGAGTTGAAGGAATTACATTGTAGATTAAAAGATCCAGAAGTGAGACATGTATCAAAGTTGCTCTACCTTGCTCCAAAGGAGTTGAGTTAAACCCCATCTGGTTGATGTTTCCAAAGATCAGAAGAATGAAGCTTTAGCATGGAAAAGCGAAGGGTCAAAGCGAGCCTTATGGCACAAACCACAGAACAGAGTCAGCCCCACAGATCGCTTTTGCCCCCCCACAGATCACACGATGGTTCCAGCGTTTTTGGTTTGTTGTGGGTTTCACCCATTTTGAGGGGTGTGCTTCTTCACTGAACATCTCCAAGAAATTGGAACTTCGAACCAAGAGTTTGATCAGCGAACGGGTGTGTTTGTGGTTCTTGGAGGATCCGATTGTTCTGACGCTAAACCCTGATCTCCCATTCTCGTCTCCATGGGTCTCCGAGCCGCGTGTGTGTGACACGCCCGCGACGTCCACCGAAGCCGGCGACGCGCCACGGGACTCCGGCGGCCAGGCTTTCCGCCTTGGAGGGAACGCGCGTGGGCTTGACCAATGAGGTCCAAGCCATGGAACCCGAGGACACGGAGAGCTTTTCGGAGGGCGAGGATGGGAAAATAATGGGGAGTTGTCAGTGGATCGGTTCTCAAGTAGCTAGACCCTAGACTTCCAAGACCATTAAAAAATGGTTGACCTGGTTTTTGTAGTGTAAAATCCTTAGTTGATTCCATAAAGCCTATTAAATTAATGGTTGTTGGAAGCCTAGGGTAGATGGACGTGATGTCCAATGCATTTACCGGTAAAAGTATACCCTAGAAGTCCAAAGACTATGACCGGCTGAAGGTTGCAGGAAGTTCCCGAACTCCGGTCCCCTTGACAGTCAGACCATTCTTTTTATGACTTGACTCCCAGGTGATATGTATCAGATGTCCTTCGTGTCTCCGGAGGCCATCGCTACGGCCGCTTCTTCCAGCGTCCGTGGTCTCTCGAAGCGACGCCCAACCGCTGGTCTTTGGCACTGCCTGCCGAAGACCATGCGGAATCGGCCCTACCCTAAGAATCCGGACCCTCAAACACATAGGGTTTTGAGGGCCCGGACCCCTGCCATGGAGAGCCCAAGGATTCTTAGGGTACCGGAAGTGTATTGAAATAGGGAGACTTTCCAGTTCGATGCCCGGAACAGAAAAGCGACCCATCCTACCCCTGAATCCGGAGGGGTCCTCCTAGATGAAAAATACCTATATGCCATGGAGTAGGGAACGACCCGGGTCTCGTTTTTCTGGACTGCAGAGGATCCAGGGATCTCCATCAACCATGACCTGCCTTTCGTCCTTCTCCATCGCCCCACAGACGCCCGCCCGCCCGCAAACCCGCGGCGCCGGCCTCACGTGGCAGTGGCACTGCCGGCACGAGGAGCGCACGAAAAGCCTGGGGACCATTTGGCAGTATGCCGGGAGAGGTGGCAAAGGCCGAGGAAGGACAGCTTCTTGGTAGAAGAGTGTGTTTGGGAAAGAGGACGTTTTGTTAGGAAAGAGGTAGGTGAGTCGCTGGGCGTGTTTTTTGTCTAGTACAAGCTGCTCGCCCGGTACATCATGCAGCTGCTTCACCTGTGTTTCTGGGCGGGGATCATCCCTTTGTCCCTTCCATCCACGGCGCCGAGTCCGAGGTGGTTAGTTTCTCCGAAGCAAAGGAGAAATTGAAAAGAACTTTCATCACCGCAGTTCTGCCACTATCTCAGTATACTTGTCTCAGAAGTCCTAAACGAAACCCAGGAAAACCAGAGTTCCAAGTCTGGAACTCCCCAGTCCCAACTTGCCATGTAAAAACTTCCAAACATTGCCAATATTGGAACAACCATGTTGTTTCTGATTGTGATTGGGTTTCCAGGGTATGCCTTCTTCTTCTTCTTCTTCTTCTTCTTCTTCTTCTTCTTCTTCTTCCTCTTTTTCTTGTTCTTGTCACTGCGTTTTATACCTTGTTTGCTGCTATTCTACTTTTGCATGCTTTCAAAGACGCTTGGATGGCGTTTGCGTTGGGTCGCTTTAGGATGGCATCTGACTGGTTCAGGAGCTAATCAGTCAGTATGTTGCCGGAGGACTAAAGCTGCTGCTTCATGAACACAGATGGCACCAGTCAGAGCATTCCCATTGGATATCTTCCCGAGCAAACACGTTGATGTTGTATCCAGAATCAGATGCGTGAAGCAACTTGTTCGATCTTCAAGATGAATCGGTCATAATATGCCAAGCTGAAGAGCGTGCGAATCCTTGAAGCTGCGAACACTGAGTGGTACTTGTTTGAGGTCAACCAACTCCATGAGGTTGGGAAAGCAGAGTGGTGAGTGCGCGTGCCCGCGCGTCGCGTGCTAGTGGGCCATGGGATGGGTGGTTCTGCTGTTGCAGGTATGCGGTATGCCTGGATCTTCCAACTACGCAACATGCATGCCTTTTGGGTGGTTATTTGATGATGAAAAGGCAGAACATATTTGCACAGTTCGCACAGTTCGCACAGTTGCAGGTGGTTTTGGGGAGCGTAGATCCCAGATCTGGTTCAGCTGCATCGGAAGATCCAGATCATTGGTCGCTCAAAAGGACTCGAGCTGGCTCTCGAGTCTACCAAAAGCGCCACAGGCTGTTTGTTCGAAGGGCATGACATGAATGCTACAAGACGCAGTGGCACATCCAATGTATGATGTAGACAGTCGGCATGTGGATGCAGCCTCAGCAAAGATGAGATGGCGTGAGTGCCCATCACTATTGCTTGGCGGACTTGAATTGCGCCTGATGGACGTCTTCAAACCCTCACAGCTGGCCTAAGCTGGCCTGAGGGCAAAGCCTACGTCTTCTCGCTCGGGCATCTCCTGCGTAGACGCTCTGTTTTCGGGTCCTTTGGCGCCCCTTTGGTTCGGTGGACTGGCCTCCACCTTCGCGTGCGTCTGCAGATGTCCACGGACGTGACGGAGTCGGACGGCGAGGCGATTCCGTCGCCCTTGGACACGAAGGCAAGCAGAACCAGGGAAGCACCTCAACCAGGTCTTTTGTTGGCTCCTTCAACAAGGTCCAGACGTCTCCGCGACCGGCAGGAAACCACCTGAGACGTACACCAGACCACCTGAGCTGGGGCAGGATTTCGAAGAGACGGAGCACTTGAGCAATTTTGCCATGTGTTTGCCCTTGCATCGTCATGAGAAGCAGGGAAAAAAAATGGAAAAACAGCTCCTTTGGGCACCTGTTTCTTCAGTTGACTGTCACCTCTCTCAATATCCGTGTTTTCTTTGCGTGGGCCCTGTATCTTCCATGGTGGATCCTTTAGCCAGACCAGGTTTTCTCAAAAGTAAGATTTTTCTTCTCAAACGTGGGCAATACCAAAGCACAAGCCAGAAACCAAAAAAACACGCGCGCGATACCAGCACGGCCGGTCAGTCGCTTTTTTTCGTTCCGCGACGTGTCGGTCTCATCCAGGCAGGTTTTGTCACCTGACCATCGTTCTGGTCAAGGCACAAGAGAGTGTTCTTCATGTCGGACGCCAGCAAGCTATCAAAAGCTTGAAAGCTATCAACTGACATACGCAAAAGCTATCAAAAGCTCCCAAGTAAGTGTTATGTCTTTTCTTGTACGGGTCGATGAGGACCCTTCGATTTTTATATGCCACCACGTTTAACCGTGCATCGACAGCGTGGCAAAAAGGCATCACGTTCAAATTCGATCATATATCCAGAATTTACTTTATTGTTCTTTTAGCCCGCTCCGCCCCCTGCCTACTTAATTGAGTAGGCGCCTTCTTAATTAAGTAAGGGACTCTAGTAAGCTACTAGGTAGGACGCAGGATAGCGAAGACTTGAAGAAGCGCTCACACTATCCATTTGGTTCCTAGATTTTTTGGGAAGTTTAACTTACAAAAATACTTGGGACTGATGAGAACAAACAGTCTCAAACACTCTAGTCTCCACAAGTAAGGTCCTTTGTTCAGCACAGCTTTAAGAAAACAAAACATATTACATATATTCTAATATCATATATATATATATACATGTTTGTTTCATGTGATTACCGTGTGATGACCTGTGCACGAACGTCTCCATCAACGACGCACCTCCCCACCGAGGACCGCTGGCACGAGTTCAGTGCGAATGACAGCGCTCAAGTCGAAGAGGTGGTCGCGCTTTGTTGGAAAACACCGACCGAGCCGAAGAGAAGACACCTGGAATACCACCTGCCTGGGTTTCTGTGGTGCAAAAGCCCTACGGAAGAACAACTCGAAGCCGTGAAGGAACTCGGGGTTCATCAAGCATTGGCGACCAGCATCCACCGTAGCTTCCTGTCACTAGTAGTAAGGCCAGGAGGCGACCTTCGTAGCATCCGATCGCTCCGTTCGAGTCGCGATGCCCTTAGCTTCTAGCTAGTTCATGTCCTCCAACCGAGCAGAGCGGTGAAGTCGACCGGCTCCGGTACGGTCGGAGGCTGTTGCCCGGACCGAGAGGCGAAGCAAAGACCGCTCAATCAAGCTGTTTCACCCGGTTGGATCTGGTACGACCCTGGCATGGTCGAACAGTCGGGTTCAACAGCGAAAAGACCGCTTGAAAGACCTGAGATCATCCGCCCTCCCCTCCACGCCGCTCACGTCTCATCCGCCAGGGCTACCAGAGATGGGTGGCCGCTGGCCAGCCGAAGGGGAAGGACGCGCCCGAGCGCCGTGCGGAGGTTCATTTGGAAGGCGGAGACGGGATGGGTGGCCTGGGAGGTGAAAGGACCTGCTTTTAGCACCTGCAAGCGACCTAGGGTGATGTATATACCAACAGAGGTGGGTCAGGACCCTATATATACTATCCCAGTTGAGTACCTCAGGTGACGGGTCCTATAAAGGTCACTTAACCTTTGTTGGTACTCGACTTCCGAGCTTTCTTCATTGCAAGGTAAGGCGCGTTCTGGAAAAAAAAACAAACCTGGGGTACCTACCCAACTGGGATAGTCTCTGTGTCTATTTCTATATATAACCCAAATAGATAGAAAAGTAAAATCCCCTTCAAAATGTGTTGAAAACGGTTCTATCAATTTGGGGACCACTTTCAGGTGTTTCAACCTCTTTTGGAGTGTGAGTGGATTACAGCGCCAGTCTTGTCCTTCTGACCACTTCTTCCTGCAAATATGATACTGTGTCGCCTTGAGATTTGCAACAACAAACATTGCCAGAAGAGGGATGTTTGTTTCGCTGCTAGGTTGGAGGCCATTTGCTAGTAGGTTGGAGGCCATCGCTACTAGATTCTTCTTTATTATGTTCATTCAGTTGTTCTTTAAAGTATTTTTAAGTACAGTAGGGCACTAGATCTTCAGCAAGTATTTGGGGAACGTCGCTCGGCTGACTGTCAGAGCTCTCGGCTTTTGTGCTGCATGGGTGCCTCCAATGTGTTTTGTTATGTTTCTGGGGCCAGTTGAGGGCAGTCACCTCTTTCTGTTCTTTGGTTTGCATGGCAAACGAGGAAAAAGGACCCCCAACAAAATCCAAAAGCCCTGCCCGCTTTTCCCGCGCAGGTCTGCACTCTAACAGTCCGGACGTCTAACAGTCTTCGTCGCCCGTCGAAGACCCCGCGGACGTTCGGTCGACAGGGGGGATGGACATTTCCGTGGACTTCCATCTGGGCACGCAGATGACCGTCGGCCCGGGGCCCGACCCGTCCCGCGACGTTGGCGGCCGTGAGAACGGTCGGCGATTTTTTTAGGAGGCGACCTTCGTCGCGTTTGCTACGTTCGTAGTAATGGCCTCCAAGCGTAGCTAGCGATGGGGCTCCAACCTAGCTTCTCAAGCTACGTTCGTCGTGGTCTCGTGGCTCTGGTTTAGTTGTAGTCTTTCGGTGACCCAAGGTGCGTACTTCAGCCTTCTCGATGTTGGCTCCACCGGCAATGAGGTATAAGGATGTTCTCATGATCAACCATATCCTTCTCATTCGTCAAGTGTTCATCTCTTACAAGAACGAAAGCCCTAGAAGTCCAAAGACTATATTTTGACCGGCTGGAGTAAAGGAAGTTCCCGAACTCAGTTCCCCTAGTCAGACCATTCTTTTTATAGTCGACTTGACTCCCAGGGAAAGAGTTCTCTTCCAGGATCCCCAGAAGCGTGATGCTTTTCGTGTTTCTTCGTGCTTCGGGTTGCTCCACCCCGAACCGCACCCAGCGGAGTGCGAACGACCCGACGCGATGACCGCGCCTGCTTGGCCAGGACTTTGCCAAAAGACGAAGAAAGAAATCTGTCTCATCAACCTCATCAACTTGCATGAAAAACTCATTGATCACCAAGAAATGCCCGCACAGTGGCAGATCTCCATCCAGACGTTTTTGTACTATAGAGCCTGATGCGGTTCCCCTGCTACGCATCTTGCAGGGGACTGCTACACGCCTCAACGAAATTCAGGCGGTACCAGGAGTCACAAAGGAGTGCGTTTTGGTAGCCAAAATGTCGATCAGCGCTGGTTCGCCTTCTTACCAAGCGGCCCGCCACGCATCCTGGATTCCACTCCGCAAGCTTCCCCCTTACAGCATTTCCACGTGCGCCTGTTGTCGGACTGGCCATCGTTCGCCGGAGCTGGTGCTTTTTTGCATCAGAAATCATGGTATCTCCAGATAGTGGTGCCGTCCCCGGTGGTTTTTCCGTGCCTGTCACAGGTTTTTTGCCACGGTCATCTTGCATCAGTTTTGGTTGTGCCACTGCGCCGGTGTTTCGTAGCGTGGCTTCGTGGGCGTGGCTTCGTAGTCTCGGCGAGCCCAAGCTAGCGCAGGTATGAGCTTTGCCGAGTCAGGTTGGCTTGACAATGGTTTGCTTCTAAGACTGGAGGGGGTAGGGGGGAGGGCGCAGCGCCCGGCCTCAAAGCGAGCACAATTGATCACGTATGAGCGCACCCAACCCTGGGCCAGCCAATGATGCTGAGCCCGGTGCCGGGGGTTGCACCTGCATGCCCAGACTGTTTGCCCCTGGTGTGTTACTTTGGCGTTGCACGCGTTGATCCCGGTGGCGTCATCACGCGAGATCTCGTGTGCGACGTTTGGCCTGGGCGCTGCTGACCGGACCGGCTCGTGCTGTGCTGAACGCCGCTGCTAAACGGCGCCGAGGCAAACATGCCCTTCGCCGGGTGCAGCGTAAGGAGTTGCCTTCCAAGGCCGGGCTGGGCCTTTCGCCGCAACGCCGGGGGTGGAGTCACTTGGTGAGGGAGGGCGTTCGGCGCGTTGATCGCGGGCGTTCCGAGCGATTTGGGGTTGCTTGGAGCAACACGAGGTTTTTTGCCTGGCAGGATTGGGAGTTCGGAGTTCGGGTGGTTTAGAGACACCCCTGACCATGTATGTCGCTTCAAACAACCCCTTTTTTAGTGGCGCTGGGGGGGGTTCGGTGTGGCCTTTAATTTTTTGTATCGTTTAATATCACTCATTCGTGTGACTCTGAGGCAGACGTTCCCACCTATCACCGCCGACCAGGGATGACTTCGTGTTGACAAATCCTCTCAAGGGTCCTTCCTTTACGGCGTAGGGTTGTTAGGGTCGTTGGAGTTGTGAACCGGTCTCCTGCCCATGGTTCTTTGATCTACAACACAGCTGCGACCTTGGGTTGCTTCAGATCATGAAGCCCCCACGAAGGTGATGGGATGGGGTCATAGTCAACCACTCCTCAGGTCGCCGTACCCGTGGGGGTGTGAATGGCCGCGGTCGGTCCGCGAAGGCCCAGCAGAGTTGCCTGCCGTTCTTTGAGAATGCCTCTCGTCAGGAAGGAGATGGGACGGAGACACCAGCACGGCTCGGAAGTTGGGTGGCCATATGTGGCCGGGGCTCGGAATCATCGTGGGTTTCGGGTGATAGGATCCATCGTTCGAGCCTGTTGAGGTTGTTCACCCATCACTATAGGTCTCATGATCCACTTGTTGGTCCAAGATGAGAGTCCTTGGGGTGCAAGGCTGGCGCAAGGCCTCGAAACCTGTCCGGTCACGGGGGGCGAGCGAGCTTCTTGCGAGAACCGTTGGGTGTTCGCGGCCAGCACCCCCCACACACATTGAGGAACAAATTTGGGTGGAAGTGAGTAAAGATCACTGCAAGCCTTTGGCCTGCTACTGGCAGTAATAACCCTTCGGATTTGGACCCAGGACTCGTCCTCTTCGTCTCATTCAGCATGGATCGATCCCGAGGTGTTGAGCATCGTGGGTGATGTGTGTGGAAAGCTGGAAGAAGTCTCCGGTCAGATGCACGCCATGGACATCGAGGAGAGGGGACATGATCAGACCACCCAAAGCGGTTGACCACCCGAAGCGGTTGCTCTTGGCAATGCAAGTGGTCTTTCATGTGGAGAGTTGCAAAGGATTTGGGGGAAATTGAGCTAAGAGTTCCTTCTGTGGCTCTAGATTCCACATGTTCATCAATATGTCTCGACGTGAAATGGTCTCCCAAAACAGATCTCATCACGACATCTTTCGGGGCAACCAAAGGTTCACAAGAGCGCTTACGGACGGGGCAGTATTGGGGGGGGGTGCATGCAGTTCTCGGGTTCACATGCAGGTGATGCACTCGCTTTCGATTTTTCCCCAGGAAACAGTGGTTGTTTGGCAAAGACCATTGAAACAATGGCTGTTGGAATCCCAGGGCTTTCATTTGATGGTAGTTCCATCCAATGAGTTTGCCATAGTTTGCCTATAGGGAACTTTTGTGTGTGTGTGTCATGGTGCTGTGGCTTGAAACTTTGCAAGTTTGCACACATGTCCGCTTTTCGTGTGTTTTCAAGGTTCGCGTTCGAGGGCGTTTTCAGTGTGGTTTATCCATCTAAACCGCCGGCTCATCGACCTTCCAACTGCTAAGCTGTTTGAGGTCGCCCTGGCGAACAGGTAACGGCTCCAAACCCTGGCGAACGAACGGGTAACGGGTCCTGACGATCGACGCGTTACGTGAGCCTTGTTACCACAGGAAGTTGGGCCTGTTGGACCTAGCGCTGAAAAAACAGAAAAAAAGATGGTGTGTGTGTGTCATCATGAGGATTTCTATCCCAACTTGGCCGGAGAGTTTTTACTGTAGTGTTGGGTGAAAACGACTTAGACTCCGCAGGACTCCGCCCTGCAAGTGAACATTCAAACCAAAAGACGGAGGAGTTCCAATGTTCCCATGGGCCTTGTTCTTCTCTTCCCTCTTCATGACCCTGTTTTCCTGCACACCTCGACCGCAGTGGCCACGGCCAGCGTCGCTTAAAGCGTCCGCCGGCTTCGCCCGCTGATGATACCGCAGTGCGTGCGCAGGAGTCGCAAGTTCAACAGCTCCAGAGCCGATCCAAGAACTGTATCGAGGCGGCGCGGCGTCGTTTTTCGCGTGGCGTCTTGGGCGATCGGCGTCGTCTTTCGCGAGGTCGGACCGAGAAGTCGCGAGGTCGGCGCGGGTTTTTTGGGGTTTCTGTGCAGGGAGGGACGTTTTGGCGTTGCGTTCCTTGAAGGGTATTTTTGTGGAGGGAAAAATGGAGTACGAGGTGATGGTGGGAGGTGTTTCTTCAACGAAAAGTGTGGCTAGCTGAGAAGTGGGATGATCAGGAAGGCATCCTACATTATCTATAGTGATTATAGTGAACGGTCCAGGATCCTGGATAAACTCCACAAATTTATGTCTTTCGGCCGGATCGTTTCCCGAGTCGTTCAGCTTCGAGATCAGTTACACCCAGGATGCCGAGACTCGAACCTGATGGCGACGATGGAACTTTGTGGAAGACGATTGTCCTTTACAACCCGCTCATGGACCCTCCTAAGTAGGGGCCGGAGCCTCCTAAGTAGGGGTCCGGACCCTCAAATTGTTGGGGTTTTGAGGGACCAAGAGCTGTTTGGAGCGTCTGGGCGACGCTATTAGGTTGGAGGCCATTGCTAGTAGGTTGGAGGCCATTGTTGCTAGCGGGGGAGATGTCGAACCAGCCCGGACCACTCGATTGATTCGCGCGGAACGACTGAGTCTTAGGCCGACCAGGACCCTCACAGACTGAGTTCCCTAGGGATCCAGTCGTACCGAAGCTCAGATACTTGGACCCTCCAAACCCTCCCCAAACACCATCCAAACACCTTCTAAGGGAGGTACTTGGATCCCTAGTGGTTTTGGGGCGAACACCATCTGCCACGGCGCGAGCGGCTGCCGCGGCTTCGCGGACCTCGACCTGTCGGCCAGGCCTTACGTGTCTCCATCACCAGCTTCGTGGAATTGTCCCTCTTCTGCGGGGCGCCACTTGGTTCTCGTCTTCGCAGCTGGTGTGCCATGTGTGGTGAGGCCGAAGAAAGGAGACCAAAACGGATCGACGGAAGTCCACTGAAGTTCCAGTTCGACTGTCCAGTGACCTTTCGACTGGACGATTTTGTATGCGATTTAACTCGCAGATCCATGTTGTATTGCCTTACTCAGACTCTGGACCCAAATCCGAAGCACCCGATCGGAATCCTTAGCACCAGGGGTCCCCTCGACAAGTAGGGCGTCTTGGTGAATGAAGCGGTCCTGGGGTAGTAGTACCGGTCAGTTTTGGACGGGATGGTCGTTTTTCCATGTCAGTCAAATGGCTTCTCCGGTGTATCCGGACTATGTTGACTATATGACATACCATGACATACCCTTCTTCGAACCACGCTATTTGTCGCTCACTAACACGACTGTGACCCGTTGACAGCCCATTTGCCCCACCTGGTGGAGTGTGCACTCCGACTGATTGGACTGAAGGCCTTTCCAATGTGTTTTTGAGAGGATGATCTTTTCCGGGACCATGCCTTCCACATGTCCCATTCGCTGGGACGGATGATCGTTCTCTGCACGGCGTCGCGTCTTCCCTCAATCCTCTAAAGAGACGGTGGCTGTCCAGGAGTAGAGAAGGGTGAAGCAGGGTCCGGACCCTCATATGGAGGGTCCGGACCCTCAAATCCCTATGGTTTTGAGGTACCAGTCGGCCTGTTTGGAGCGTCTGGATGTTGTCAATCTGCTGGTAAGTCAGTTTATGTCAGTTTAGAATCGAAATGACTACTCTACTCTACCGGCTCAATGGTCAACCTTCCGGGGACTCGACTTGAAGCTTTACCCGTCCAACTTCTTCACGAGGAGCCACACTCCGTAGACTTCCGTGAAAGACCATTAAAACAAATGGTTGACCTGGTTCTTGTAGTGTAAAATCCTTAGTTGATTCGGGATGACCCGCCTCTTAAATTAAAGGGTTGTTGGAAGCCTAGGGCGTAGATTCTGTGAGTCATTGACTCATGTGTTCCCATGTCTTTCCAACCGCGGCACGTGCCACCGCACAGTCGCCCTTTTGAGCACAAGGAACGAGCAGATGGAGAAGTTGGAAGTGCCCTTTCTTGGAAGCTGTGGGGGGCTGTGCGGATTTATAGATGCTGAAGAACCTCAAAAAGGACTATTTGCCAGTTGGGTGCACTTGTAGGGTCCTATATGAGGTCATTGGTAGATGCTCTTAGTTGGTAGAATCCCTCTTGGAATCCCACCGACGACCGATGAACGACTGATCCCAATGACTGTGACTGGGTGTGGGGGAGAAAATGAAGGGGCTTGGAGCCTCCTAAACGTCTCTAGGTGTTTTTCCCCAAATAGCTTTGCTCTGAGGGGTTCTCAATTCTTGTATAGAAACGATGCTGGGCCAAGATGATTCCCGCCCTTTGCCTCCTCTTGTCTCTCCTTGTCTCCCATTGCGTGTCTGGATGCTGGGCTGAGATGATTTTGCTTTGTCTACCTTTGTCTCCCCTTGTCTCCCATGGCGTGTCTGGATGCTGGGCTGAGATGATGTTGCTTTGTCTCCTCTTGTCTCCCCTTGTCTCCCATGGTGTGTCTGGATGCTGGGCTGAGATGATTTTGCTTTGTCTCCCTTTGTCTCCCCTTGTCTCCCATGGCGTGTCTGGATGCTGGGCTGGGATCACTTTGCTTTGTCTCTCATTGTCTCCCCTTGTCTCCCATGGCATGTCTGGATGCTGGGCGGAGATTTGGCGCCAGGAATGGATCTGCTGTTTGGGGTCGATGCTGGGTGACTTTGCGCTAACCTTTTTGTGTGCTGCAGAAGACTAACAGCAGTTTACGGTACATGACGTGATATGCAGCACCTCTTGCAATATATTTCCCCAAACAGGTTACTGTTGGGGGTTCTCAATGCTTTCTAAGAGTGTCCGCTTTGCTGCGGGACAGCGTGTCTCTTCTTGTTGGTCGTTGTGTCCGCCTTGGCTCCATTCTGTCTCCCTTTGTCTCTGGTCTTGTCTCCCTTCTTGTTGTCTCCGGTCTTGTCTCCCTTCTTGTTGGTCACTGTGGCCTTGTCTCCCTTCTGTCTCCTTTTCTCCCTTCTTGTTGGTCACTGTGTCCGCCTTGTCTCCCTTCTGTGTCCTTTGTTCCTCAAACAGGTTTATCTGTGAGGGGCATTTGCCTCCGGGCTTGCGTTCCTGCCACACTGTGGTTGCTGCGGCCGCACCCATTTGTCTCCCACTGTCTCCCGTCCCTTGCGGGTGCTTTGGCCGCATGATTTTACGCTTGTCTCCCACTGTCTCCACTCGTTTGTGGGTGCTTTGCCCACTGTCTCCAGTTTGCTGTGGGTGTTTTGGCCGCAAAATTTTTACACTTGTCTTCCGTTTGTCTCCAACTATCTCCAGTTCGCTGTGGGTGCTTTGGCCACATGATTTTACCGGTTTCCCATGGGGGCAGTGGGCAGAGAGACGGGCTGCGATGGACAGAGCTGCGGCTGACAGAGGGCGAAGTGTCGGTGAATGCGATCGCTTTGAGAATCTACCGGCAAGTGCTTCGCGAGCGTATGTCCCCTGTCATGGGGGGAGAAGCGCTCACCCTGTCCTCGATCATCGACAGCCTCCTCACCGGCCAGTGCGCCTTGGCGGTGGACATGGCCGTACAACGGCTGAAGTCGTTGGAAGCAATCGCCTCAGGAGCCTCATGGACTGTGGCTCAAAGATTCGAGGTAGTCCCAAGCGAGATGGCTCAGATGGCCAGCAGGGCAGGCAGCGTACACCAACAAGCGGTGGGAGCATGAGACACAAGCACTTTCATGAATCCCATTTGACTTTGGTTTTTTCTGCCACTGTGCTTTTCCCTTCCTTTTCGGGTTTTTCTCTCTAACACCTTGCCTATCGCCCGCAGCCTTTTGTACCAAGACCAACCCGACGTTCATATGGTTGGCATAGAGGAAGAATCCGACTACAGCCGCTCGCCTACGCCGGACCGACCTGAACCGGTCCATACACATCCCTACATCGCGGCACTATCCCAGGCATCCTGCACATCCCCTTCTTCTACAACAACCAGCAACCAGGCCCCTCCGCCACCGAAGCACCTCCTGTCCCACTCCATCAGTATCGCAACCTCCCAACACGAACATCACCACCACTGCCACCACCACGACCACAGCCTCCTTCTTCTCCCTCCTCGAGCAGCGAGGACCCGTGAATATGTATGGGACTGCGATACCATGTGCCTTCACAGGCATTTGCAGGACCCGATGCCTGATTGGCCCAATGAAAGGATCCGTCCTTTGCTGGAATCAATCATAAAATAGGCATGCTCAACCAGAGCGTCATCTAGGAAGATGGGCAACGGGTTCACTCCCCACGGTGTACTGGATATATGTGGTGGTCGAACCAGTGTGCTATGCACTTCCTCTCAGAGCGAGTCCACGACGAAAGTGTGTCGCTGGACTCTGAGGTCAAGTTCAGTCATGATCCGCACCACTCAAAAAGTCTCGCCATGGACAGTCACCCATCAGATCCTGCGTTTGCCTTGTCTCCCTTCTGTCTCGCTTTTTCTCCGGTCTTGTCTCCCTTCTTGCTGGTGACTATGTCCGCCTTGTCTCCCTTCTGTTTCCTTTTGTCTCCCTTCTTGTCTCCCCTCTTGAGCCCTTGACAGCGCTGCGCGGGGCGTATCCTCGGTAATGTAAAGATTAAAAATGTCGGTGCCTGCTGCTGGATCGATCTTCTCAGAAAGCAGCTGGGAAGGGTTCTCCTTGAAGAACGGCTACCAACTTCAACTGTCCATCTATCATTTGTACCATCGTCTTAGACATCACATTCAGGATCATCTTCTTTGATGGCTTATTATCATCATCATCGTCATCGTCATCGTCATCATATGAAGTGTAGAGATGATTGTCAAGGGTAATCACCTGCGCTTGCCAGGAAATCTGCACTTCGAGGTTCGCGAAGTGCTGTGCCCGCCACGAAATCTGCACGTCGAGGCTCACGAAGTGCTGCGCCTGCCACGAAAACTGCACTTCAAGGTTCACGAAGCGCGCCTGCCACAAAATTTGCACTTCGAGGTTCGCGAAGTGCTGCGTTTGCCACGAACTGTGCACTTCGAGGTTCACGAAGTGCTGCGCTTGCCACAAATCTGCACTTCCAGTGCGCAAAGTGCCGCGCTTACCACGAATTCTGCCACGGAGCCACCATACCAGAAAATGAGGTTCCAAAGAAAATCGTCAGCCTCAGGCCGTGCTGGGTGAGAAGAACGCGGCCTCCTTGGGCGTGTCGGCCGGCGGGCGAGACATGCGGATGCAAACGGTGCTCAAGGCCGTCAAGGAGGCGGTCCCAGACACGCATGGGCTGAAGGAGGGTGAGACCAACAGAGGTAGCCAGTGACCGGGACCACAGGACCCGGAAAACCTGGGGTACCTATATAGGGTAGTCGAACTAGGGTTCTGACCCACCTTTGCTGGGATGTTTTGAGAGTTGATGACTTGATGGAGACGGGGTGCAGAGCAGTGCTTATCTCTTGGATTTTGTTCTAATCGAACCGGGTCAACACAGGGTTGTGGGGATGTGAAGGAGGCTTCCAACAAGAGGTCAGGTCATTGGGTCAGTTCGGTGTTCAGACTCTTCGGGGCATGCTTTGAGCACGAATGAAGCCGAGGGTTTACAGAATCGTTTCCCAGTTTCTCAAAGTGTGTGTTGTAACGATGTGTTCCTGAACGCAAGTTTGTGCGTGTGAGGCAGAAACGACAATCAAGCTAGTGAAAATGTATGATCTGTTTTGCTCTGTTTACTCTTCAAAGATGAAACTCGAAAAAGGTCTCCCAGTGCACCGACGTCGCCTTTTCATGTCCAAAATCGAGGCCCATTCCTCACCCTCCCCATCAACCAAACGACCGAGAAAAAAGAACCCATCGACTCCTCTCCTCTCGTCTCCGCCCGGCCGTCGCCGTCGTTCGGCGCTAGCCCGCGCTCGACTGCGCGCGGACCGTGCGTCGCCCACGCGGAGGCCTTCCAGATCCGTGCGTATGGGAAGGCCCTCACCGACGGACAGAGTCCTTGGAGCCACATCAGGCCGCTCTTCGTCGACAGCGAGTCGACTCGGTTGGGGGCTTTCGTCGACGTTTTCTCCGTTCCCGCGGGAAGGAGAGGAGAGGAGATGGTTTAAAAGAGCAACAACCAAAAGAAAAACCCTCTCTTTTGGCGGGGTGGGGAAATGTGTTGTTTTTGGTTGAAAAGTTTGGAAAGAAAGATGTATCCCAACGCCTTGCACCTTGCAGTGCTTCTTTTTAGGACTTAGCCAAAATCCACGCGACTGGATTGGACGCAAGGAGAAGCACCGGAAGATGGCAGAGGGGATGGCTGGGCATGAGGGCGGTTCCAACTGCTGTTGGCTACGAAAAAAATGTCCGGAATGCAGAAGACCTGGTGAAGTATCAGATAATGTAGACTCTTGAGGACCATAAACCCCCCTCGTTTGAAGAGGATGTCCAATTCAAATGGAGGGTTTAATCAAGAGTCTACATGAGTCTGATCAGGTCATGTTTCTTCTTGCAAGGGTGGATGGCAGGGGGCCCCGTGCTTGGCCCAAGATGCCTATGCCTCTAGGCAGCCTCATGACCATCAACCTTAAATCTCCCTTGGACTCCCTTGGGATTTGGCTGACACATGCTGACACTACTCAGCCACTACTCTTTCAGTCCCCCAAAGCCAAAGAAACACTACCCATCGGGAACCCCACCCCATGCTGTGGGAAGCGGTGCAGGCTGCTGGTTCCTTCGGGGAAGCGGTTCTATGAGAAGATCATGATCCAATTGCGGTTAACGATGGTGAAGTATCGCAGTGCTCCTCGATGAGAGGACGGGGACATGCAGAGGACTGGAAGTTCTCAAGACAAGAATCAGGTGCCTTCTGGCGTTGAGGAAAGCAAATGGAGTCCCATGGGACTGACTTGACATTCGAACCTTCACCGGTTTCACATCTCAGACGGGCTGACGGGTGAGGGGGAAAAAAAGTGAGGGAGGGTGATGAGGCATCCTCAGCATGACAAGGAACTTTGAGCAGTCCAACATTTTCTGAGTTTGCTTTGTTTGTGTATGTTTGTTGCGTTTTTTATAGACCTGTCCGGTGTGCAACTCAGCTTACCAAAAAAAGAAAAAGAAAACGCGTGTTTACGGGCCTACTGTCTTTAATTACAACGTAAATCACTGAGGTAGGTTGAACATGTTGCATGTTGTTTGGTGGCTCCCAGACGGACCATCGTGTCGACCGCCGCTTGTTTCGACCATCGAGTGACCCACTAAGGAGAGCTTGGAGATCAAGCGGCGGCATGCCTTCATGTTGGCCGGCACCTTGCTGAACGAGTACAGCGCCTCGGTGAAGAACCGCCCCCCCTCGGTGTGGGCGAAGCAAACAGACTGCCTCCGGAAGGCATTCCAACCGAAGGCTGCGATGAGCTCCAAACGGGCTTTGCCAAGACGCCCCTCCTGAAACAGGTTTCACGGAAGCTTCAAGTCGAACCATCTGGTCTTTCCTTTGGTTCCGCTGGGGCGCCCGTGCGGCCACCTGCCCGCGGTTCCCGGACAGAGCCATATCACCTACTTAAGTGGTCATAGTGAACTCGGGTCAGAACGGTTTTATGGGTCGGAGTTCTTTGGATACCCAAAAATGATGAAATGATGAAAATCCTTGCAGAAGACCGACAGGGCGAACCATTTTCCAAGGGTCCAAGGGAAACTGAGTGCTGCACATGGGTATCAGTTCTCTAATCCTTGTGAATTAGATGGAATGAAAATGACCATTATTCCACTGCTCCTAGGTATTTGACATATGATATAATTACGTCATATACAATATATGTGTGTTTTTGCTGATTTAAGAGACTGTTTCCCTCAGTGTCTTTGATCCCTTGGACACCTGGCTGGCCATCGCTTTCGCGCTTTCGCCAGGTGACGAGGATTTTCAGCGGCGCTTCCGAGGGGAGCTCAAAAAGCTGTTCCAGGAGGGTTTGGAGAATGCATAATTTAAGGGCTTACGCCCGACGGCCGGCCAGGGGCCCAACCAAAGGGGATGGGGAAGGGAAAGAAAGAGAAGGGTGATGCGGGTCGGTGTTGTGGTTGTGGTGGATGTTGTGGGTTAGGGTCGCGTTAGTGTTGCTGTTGTTGCTGTTGTTGCCGTTGCCGTTGCCGTTGTGGTTGTGGTTGTTGTTGTTGTTGTTGTTGTTGTTGTTGCTCCCAGTGTCCTACCTGGCACCGCTGGGGCGTGCTTCTGTGCTTGTGTTACCATCATTCTTAGAAGCACCGCCTGTGATTGACATCGGCAGTCGAGCTTCGGCCAAAGCATCAACCAGCGTGCACAGGAGGATGGAGAATGTGATGGCTGACAACAAATTCACAGTACCAGCCACAGCAGGTTCTCCCGGTGAGCCACAAGTTGGCCCAGTGCTCCCAGCCCTTGCCTCAAGATCCCATCACAGGTTTACCTAGTGGAGTTCCTGTGAACAAGGTCAGCGATCGAGTGCCTGGCGCAAAACCAGAAGGTGATGAGAACATTGACGGGGAGGAGATCCCTGAGACTGAGCTGCAAGCGAAAACGCAGCAAGAGCAGGAGGAAGAGAACCGATGATCAGTATGATGTGAGAGGGCAGACCGGTGTGTTTCACTGCTAAGGACATGATCCAGCGCGAGTGCTGAAAGTGAAACATGCATGTAGCTGAACTTCAGGTGTCATGCATTGGAAGCTTAAACAATAGATTAGTCAAAGAGTTGATCAATGAAGCTTTATTCAGACAAGGTCCGAATAGAATGGACCTGACCCGCCGGCCACGCTTGCGTATCACCATGGCGAGCGATCTGTGCGGCCAGCGCTGAGCAGCGGTCCTCTTTTTGGAACTGGTTGCAACCGCTGGAGCTGGAGGATCAGATGAGCTGGCACTTTCGGCTGGTCTTGTACCTTGGATTCCTCGTGCCACTCACCTGCTATAGTCCATTTCGGTCCGCGTCTGAACCGCGGTCCCAAATCCGCGGTATGTCTAGAACCCCAGCTGCTTTCGCACAACATGAACTAGACATAAAAAGCGAGGGTTGTGACATTGCCATGGATGTCACGAGAATAGCACATCCCCATGAACTTCATTTGATCCCTTATAGTGCTACGAAATCTCATCGCCCCACGCCCCACAGATGGCCATAAGTGCAGTTTTCGCAGAGCAGTCAAACGTGCCCAACAAGATGGGTACACTTGGTACCGTGGGAAACTGTTTGATGCCAAAGCCCTGGGCACGACTGTGAGACCCACTCCAACTGCCACCAAGAATGTCCTCCCATGCCCTCCACGTCAGCCCCGCACCGACTCGAGGTTTGAGCAGCTCTCAATTCGCTGAGATCCTCGAATGGGCCCGATATCAACCCTTCCAGATCCTTGCCTTGCAAGAGACTAGATGGCAGGGCTCGAGGGAATGGGCAGATGACACTTGGTATTTCGTGGCGGTAGGTGGGCACTCCACGTCAATCAACTGGTGTGTTGGTCGCCATACGGAAGACCTTTTGTAGTCTTCATCAACTCTCATGGGTCAGTCCATGGGACGGTCGATTGTTACATATTCGCATTCATGTTGATAGGCCTCTTGATATTCTTAATTTTTACCAGAAGACTTATCAGGCTACATCTCAAGGTAATCAAATGCGTGCACAGGTGTTTAAGTCCCTCGATCAGTGTTTGCACTCTTTGCCCACACGCAACAACCTCATCCTGACTGGAGACTTCAACACTAGTCTTGCCACCCGCACGTAGGCCACACCACCTTCGTTGGCATCGATGGACAGTTGACCAGCGGACCAAGTCAGATCGACCAAGTCTTGCTCCAAGACATTTTGCAGCAACATGGATTGTGTGCTGTCAACACCATGAACCCTGGCCTCCCGGCCACTTTCCTAGGCAGTAAAGGTTCTGGATCCCGCATCGACTTTGTATGCACCAGACTCAAACAGGTGGACTTTGAGGCGAGAGAATGCGCCCCGATTCCGAGTTGTCCCTTATTGGGCACCGTCGTTCAGGGTTTGCTCTCTCACATTGTCCTGGAAACCATGGTCCAGCATGGCCCTGAGCACTGTAAATTTTGCACATCGTAATAGGGGAAGAGTCGAGAAGCATGGCACGACTTCGTGACTTGCACATCGCAACAGCTTGCAGAGGCCCGTTGGCCAAAGGATGGAAACTTCCGGGACATTCACCGGACACTGAACTCAGTCTCATAGACACTTTCTCAACCTCCGCTGATCGACTCATCCAGTCCGGTCAGGTCCGCAGCTTAGCTGCCCAGAAGTGGGCACTCTTTCGCACACTCAAAAACCCTCAGGCCGCTACCTTTCGATCGGTTTTTGTGTCCTGGTTGTTGATCACCAAGCACCACAAAGTGCACCGAGCCCAACAAATGGCCACGACGCAGGCCAAACAGACTCGAATCGATCAGATCTTGACTGAGGCCAGGCAGGCTGCAGACAGACATGACCTAAGCAGACTCCATCAGTTGGTCAAGAAACTTCACCAGGATTCAGATTCGTGATGCTTCAGGCAAGATCCTGGGTCCCCTTGAAGAGTTTGTTTCCATCAAATGTTTTGTCCAAGAAACCTGGAACGATCATGCTCTTCCCCCGCTCGCCACCGTGGCAGGTCCTGGGGTTCCATTCACGACTGAAGAACTTGAGAGAGCACTTTGACAGTTGGCGCCACTGAAAGCCAATGCACCCAGCACATGTGCCACTTTGCCACCCAACTCATGCAATTGCTTCAAGAATGGTGGAACAGGCCTGATCCCTATATTCCCAGGGCTTGGAAGGATGGTTTCCTCTATTTCCTCCCCAAGCCGGTAAACCTCCGACTCACGCCAAAAACCTTCGACCTCTTGCTTTGCAGGAAGTGTTTGGGAAAGTGATCATTGGCCGCAGTGTCAACATTGTGACTTCCACAGTGCCACCATGGTGGGTTCTTTCGGGCAGCTGACCTCACAATTGATGAAGCACGTCCTCCCTGTGTTTGCAATCCATGTCGTGTTCCACAGCCCCGATCACGTCGGTGCCCTGCCACAACACCTGATTGATCCACATCATCGCAAGCTCATGCTCCCTTGGGCCCTTTGCTGACGGTTCAGTTCAGAAGTTGATTCAACTCCATCGAATGCTCCACGCTCAGGCTCCAGGCTTGGGACCTTGGGTCGCCCTGATGACAATCCGTGGACCTTCTTCCTCAACGATGGCGTGGTGCTCAGTACCTCTTGCCTGCTCTGCTCACGGCGTTTCGAGCATCCATCCATGCTCTTTGACCACTTGCTTCATTCACATCGAGCACAGAGTGGACACAATGGATACTTGCTGCATCATCTGCTGCGGTTCCTGTTGGCTCAATGCCCTGCCCTGGACACTCCTTTGCCCTGCCAATGGTGCGGTACAACCAGCAAGGACTACACGCTCTTGGACGACAGTGTGTGGGCGCAGTTGACTCACAGGCGTGCCACTGTGCTGAACGTCGGGTGCGCTTTGACCTGGCTTCGACCTGATCCAAATGATGGACGAAGTGATGCATATCCAAGACGGAGATCGGGTGAGCCAAGTGGGCCGGGCATTCTTAAATATGCTCGCGTCACAGGACGAGCAGGAGTTGGAGCAACCTCAGGACAAACGGAAACGAAGGGACACTCCGTCTCATCAGCCTGCTCGACGGAGACCAAATCAGATCTCCACACCGAGGGGAACCAGCTCGTCAGCTTCAACCAAGGACGACGACCATCCACAGATCAACAAGCTGTGTTGATTGCTGGGCCAACTCCTGATTCGACACGAGGATCAGCTGAACTCGGTATCTATGCAAGACTCGTATGTCCTCTTCTTCCAACGGGGGAACTCCGGAGTCGTCCCATTGATGATGAGATCAGCCGGACAATGGCGAGACCTTCCACAAAATCAGGTTATGATGCCCTTGCGTTGCCACCTCATCCAAGTGGTCCTTCAGCAGCTGGTGAATCGCTTTCAAAAGCTCAAGACACAGATCCAGGACGAGACAACGAAGAAAGCTGCCATTCAGAGCATGGCGATCATGGAGGATCACAGCTTTCCATTCCTCTTCTGGAACTCCCAACAAAAGAGATTGATGATTGCTCAAACCACCCCCATTGCATGGACCACGATGGAATCGCACCTTGGTCTTCTGCAACAGGCCTTCCAGGAGCCAAGCAATTGCATCAGGTTCTTTGCCATGGCAGCTCCGAACAGCAAAGGAGAAGTGATACCGTGGAAGTCCGGAACGACTCTCTGGCGAATCTGATGAAGCAGCTGGCAGGGTCCTCTCTTTGGCACTTAGTGGGAGCACGAATGAGACAGCCTTCAGCGATCACAGATTGCCCAGGACATCAATACAATGCTTCACCCACGAGGGGACAGACGATGAAGCTTCAATGGATTGCAAAGCTCCGCACTAGCAGCGGGCCTCTTGGGCCTATGTTGAGCCCATCTTGGGCCTTATGTTGGGTCATCTTGGGGATCTGTGTTGGATCATCTTCGGGTTCATTTTGCGCAGTTTATGTTGACACGGGCCCATCATCCAAAAGATGCCGATTACGCATGTCCGCGCGGCGCGCATTACCGACACCACCCTTGGAAAACCTCCTGTCTTTGCATTTCGTGCCCAATTTCCCACCACAAAACTTTTTGATCTACCACCCCACACAAAACCCTGTAAAACATAGTGTTTTTTGCACGTCACACGCAGGATCCACTGTAAAAC